AAAAAAAAAAAAAAAAAAAAAAAATTCTAGAATTAGATACAATCCCAGACCCTAACTCGCTTGCCCCTTGAGGCATTTACATTCTGGCCTGGGCCTCACATTCTCATTTATAAAAATAATGCCTTTGTATGTCCCTAAAACATTAATTATTTTCATTTTATGGTTAAAAAGTGATGCAGTAGTGTTGCATGGGTTTTCTTCCCGTCGGTTTCACCGTTTTCCTTTGTCCTTCTAGGGCCCAGTCCTATGCTGAGAGACTGCGTCTGGGTTTGGCCGTCATCCACGGGGAAGCTCAGTGCACGGAACTGGACATGGACGATGGTCGTCACTCCCCGCCTATGGTCAAAAACGCTACTGTGCACCCGGGCCTGGAGTTGCCATGTAAGATGAGCTCTGCATTTTTATTTTATTTGTAAATTGGAGAAAGTTTTTAGTTTTTTGATACAGAGTCTCACTTTGTTACCCATTGTGCAGTAGTGCAATCTCGGGTCACTGCAACCTCCACCTCCTAAGTTCAAGCAGTTCTCCTGCCTCAGCCTCTGGAGTAGCTAGGATTACAGGTGTGCGCCACCATGCCCAGCTAATTTTTATATTTTTAGTAGAGATAGGGTTTCACCATGTTGGCCAGTCTGGTCTCGAACTCTTGACCTCGTGATCTGCCCACCTTGACCTCCCAAAGTGCTGGGATTACAGGCATGAGCCACGGTGCCCATCCCCAAAGAAAGTTTTAAGTAGTGTGAATGGCTAGGAGTTATTGACTACGTAGATCATGCTGTCTTGATTTTTTTTTTTTTTTTTTTTTTTTTTTGAGAAGGAGTTTCGCTCTTGTTGCCCAGGCTGGAGTACAATAGCGTGATCTCGGCTTACCGCAACCTCTGCCTCCCGGATTCAAGTGATTCTCCTGCCTCAGCTTCCTGAGTAGCTGGGATTACAGGCACGTGCCACCATGCCCGGCTAATTTTTGTATTTTTAGTAGAGACAGATTTCACCGTGTTGATAAGGCTGGTCTCAAACTCCTGATCTCGTGATCTTCCGCCTCATCCTCCCAAAGTTCTGGGATTACAGGCGTGAGCCACCGCGCCCAGCCTATCTTGATGCTTTTAAATAATAGAATGGTATTATATTTGCTATCCCCCGCCTTTTTTTTTTAAGACTGGATCTCACTCTTTTGCTCAGTCTGGAATGCAGTGGCACAGTCATGGCTCACTGCAGCCTTGACCTCCTGGGCTTGAGTGATTCTCCCACCTCTGCCTCCTGAGTAGCTGGGACTGTAGGGGCACACTACCATGCCTGGATAGTTTTCCTTTT